TTCCATCCTTGATTGTTATTGTATATCACCTTTATGTAGGCCCGTATGGGTACGGATGCGCGAACAATAAGCTCTACAAGTCCTTAAACAATGATGTCATTTGGAGGCATTGACTATAAACTTAGTAGAAAGCTAAGAGAATCATTCAGACATATTATACATATAAATGAAGTCCTTCACCAAGGGGGGAAAAGCGGATTTTTTGGGATTTTAAATCCGAAAAAATCCCAAAAATCCCAAATAATCCCAAATAATCCCAAATAATCCCGAATAATCCCAAATAATCCCAAATAATCTCGAATAATCCCAAATAATCCCGAATAATCCCAAATAATCCCGAATAATCCCAAAAATCCCAAATAATCCCAAATAATCCCAAATAATCCCGAATAATCCCAAATAATCCCAAATAATCTCGAATAATCCCAAATAATCCCGAATAATCCCAAATAATCCCAAATAATCCCAAATAATCCCAAATAATCCCAAATAATCTCAAATAATTCCAAATAATCCCAAATAATCCCAAAAAATCTTTTTTGGATTTTAGAATCTGTAAAATCCCAAATCCGCTTTTTCCCCCTTGTCCTTCACCCTCAACTCCTCTATAAGGCGAGATATATACTAATGTCCGGATATGTTAGATGAAGCTCTTTTATGTGCCATCAAGTCGCACAGAGGCATGTATGACCACCTATAATAGACATAATTCGTTCAGTTTCCATAGAGCATTAGTTCTTGCTTAAGATAGCGTGCTAAATTTAGTTGTAACTGTAATGTGCAGTTTACTGAATATGAAATTAAAACAACCTATTGAATAGATTCAACCTTTTTCTCAGATTAAGAAAAATGTCAGCTTTCCAGCTTCCAAGGTCTCTCATAGTATTGGTATTGTAAAAGTGTTGTTTTGAAATTCAGTCTGAATTCCAAAAGGCTATAGGATAAGAACCTACTATCAGTTTAGAATCAGAAAAATATCTCTCTAGCTCCATTCCGTGACATGATTAAAAACCAAGTAGAAAAAAAAAATCTTCCAAAATTTTGTAAGCAATGTAAGACGACATGCCTTACAGTTTATACTTTATAAAACAAATACTCTAATAGTTAGGTGAATACCAAGATATTGATCACTTGCGTAAAGCTATTCATCATGTTTAGCAGTTGTTTTCACCATCTGTTTTTCCCAATTCATTGTTATCAATTGAATTCTTTCGATCAGTGCTAGTATAGATGTAGAATTGGTTCAGACTACACGATTCCTATTCTTTTTTTTGTATGCTTCAACTACAGGAGAAATAATATTTCTTCCGTTTCGAAGAAGTTGTTTAATGAATATCAAATTATCTACTCTATTTGTGTCCACACATGCTTATCAGTCAGTTATGACTCAGCCATCGTCAAATAAGGCATGTTCTATGGCCTTCTTAATTTGAAGAGTAGTCGAAATTCGAGATAAGTTAGAATATGATGATCTATCTAAATAGCCATGTATATTAAAACATTGAAATCATTGTCAATTCTTGTTGCATCCCTCAAATATCGATCTTCGCTCTGTGTCATAATCATTTAGGTATATGTCTTTAGCATAATATCATTAAAACTTATATCTGTATGTATATTTGTTTTTCTTGATGAAAATGTCAGAAACAACGTTGACAACAATAACAACGACAACAGCCAGCACGACTGCTAGTACCACGAGCGCTTCGACAACAACGACAACTACAAAAACAACGACAACAACAACGACAACGACAACAACAACAACAACTACAAAAACAACGACAACGACAACGACAACGACCACAACAACGACAACAACAACTACAAAAACAACGACAACAACAACGACAACAACAACGACAACAACAACAACAACTACAACAACAACGACAACAACAACATCAACGACAACAACGACCACAACAACGACAACAACAACAACAACTACAAAAACAACAACAACGATAACAACAACGACAACAACAACAACAACAACAACAACGACAACAACTCGTACAACAACAACAACCACAACTACAGGTAAAAATATCTGAGGAAAATAATTTTTGAAAGACTTTTCGAGATAACACAGAGAGAGAATGCAAAGTCTTAATTATTTTCCGAGAATTCTACCAATTTGGTTCATTCTATTTCATTGAAACATTTTAATATACGAAAAGCAAGTGTTTCATCAACTTTCAATTCCGATTATTTCCTCTCAAAGAATCAAGTGGTTTCTATGCCTAAGCTTTGTTCTATGTCTACATAGGTTCATTCTTTTGTAATTGATTGAACATAAATACATGATGATCAACAGGATGGAACTATGCCTCTTGACTAGCAAGAAAAAACTCTAAATAGATTTTCGATGTGTTTCAATAAAAGTAACGTTCAGTAGGTGCTGACTGCTCTTGGTCCTATACTTTATATGACAAGTCACTTAATCTTTTCCTTTCTCGCCACACCGAACGAATCGTATCTAAGCACTATCACGCGTGCAACCGATAACTGTCCAAGTATTTAAAAAATTTAAGATATTTGGTCCAATATTCACAACATCGATCATCAAGGGGATGGTCCTCCTCAAAAACTGCGAAAAATAAACCTTTCCAGTAAAGATAGTGACGGGTTCGTTTAAGTGATGTATAATAAAAAACGACAAATATTTATTCATATCAAATTTGTGAATAGAATGAAGACTACATAAAACTATATGAAAAGAGGTAGCACAAATGTTGAGAATAAAACTCGGCGAAGTGTAGTAGACGTGGATCTTCTTAATTTATTGAGATTAAATATAGCAGTTTGTTGATGGATTTTAGCTTGGACATGATTAATCATCTGTCTTCAACTAATTTTCATCATTACACAGTACCCTCAATACTTGTATAATGTTATCCACTCAATTGAATGACCACTCTATTTGAGATCCGATTCTGGCAGTCCAAACTCCCGCACACTACATCATGTGAGTTTTTGAATCATTCCTAATGTGACAAATATTTATGGTACAATAAATATCTGTGACATTATCCGCTAAGTTCAAATTTTCTCGAACACAATGTATTCCTAAATTGAATCATTGATATTCAACTGTCAGCAAACCCAACAATATCGTATAAAAGCATTACAAGCGGTTCAAGAATAGTGCATAATCTACCAATTACTATAAGCTATTCTACACACTAATTCGAAAAAAAATAATTTGACTGCTTTCTTTTTCTTTTATTTCAGCTCCAGCATCGACTACACTCTAAAAAAAAAAGGTTTCCTCGGAAACCGATACCCCTTCGAAAACCTTTTCGCAAACCTTTTTAGGTTTCCGGAAGGGTTTCCGAACTTATGTTGAGTTTCTGACAATACCTTGAGGGTTTCCGAGCATCCGGAAACCAATGGATTTTGGAGAGAGCGGATTCGGAAACCTTCAACCGTATTCTCGGAAACCGGCTTTGCTTCGAAAACCTTTTCGGATACCCATTGTGTATCCTCGCATACCTTTGGGTTTTCGATATTTTTTTATCGAAAACCCTTTTGGGTTTCCAGCCATCGGAAACGGTCGAAGCGTTTTCCAAAAATCTAGCAAGGTTTCCGAACATAACTGGAAAACCCCTTAGGGTTTCCGAATGTTGCGAAAACCTTTGAGTTTCCGAGAAAAAGTTTCGAAAACCCATTAAGTAGTATGCAAAACCCAATTAGCATTCCAATATGATCTTTTCTATTCTCATGTTCTATCGTGTGATTTTCAGGTAAAGCGGTGCTCGATATGCATGACATAAACCTTACTTAATTTGTGTGAAGTTGCTTTGTAAAACATAAGAAATCTGAGAAGTGTAAAAGAAGGCCTTGTTCCCAAAAGAATTCTAATTCGTTTTTATATTTCAAATAGCCTAAAATTTGGATGTATTATGACACATTTTACTGTGAAAATCGAAGAGTCGCGCTAAATTGGATGGTCACTATATGCCCTCTAAAGGCATCGTAGTCAAGCAATTTCGTGTCGAACTTAGGTTTTTCTTCCCTCGTTATACTATGGACACATGTTCACCAATATGAAATTCAGATCAACGTTAAGAAGTTAGATTAAGGGTTACAATAAGCGGACAGATATACATTAAAGAGTTAGAATAAGACTACGGAATAAGACATTACAACAACGAGTTAGAATAAGGGGATACACATAGATTAAGGACTTAGATAAGCACGATACATTTAGGGATAGATATAGATTAAGGAGTTATATTAGAGGTTAGAATAAAGGGGTAGAACAAGAAAGTAGAATAAGGGGACAGATACAGATCAAAGAGGAACAGATTGATTTCCGATTTCTTGATTTCTAGCGATTTCCATGATTTCTGACGATTTCGAGTTAGAGGAAGTCCGCTACCGTTCCGTTGCCAAATAACCGGTAACGAAAAGTTTGTGAGTTTCATTTTTTTTGTTAGGATAAGGCTATTTTTAAAAAATAACGATTTTCTATAAAGTTTGATCAAAGGTTATCAAGGTCGAGGAATCCGAATTTATGAGTTGTTTTACAAAATTTGTCAGTTTCATTTTTTTGTTAGGATAAGGCTATTTTCAGAAAATAACGATTTTCTATAAATTTTGATCAAAGGTTATCGAGCTCGAGGAATCCGAATCTATGAGTCGTTA